GGACCACGAGCTACACACAAATGCACACCCACTTCAAAAGATCCATCTGCTCAAGCTGGAACTTTGCTTGCACCTCAGGAAAGACAACAGCAAATGATCCACGCAAATGGGACTTTAAAGACAAAAAGTGTCAAAGTAAGAAAATCTACAATACAAGAACCATGGTGCTATCTTAAATTCTGCTGTTTCTAATGTCTCTTCGTACATTTCTCTGAGCTGACATGAATCATTCAGTGAAATGACCTGCTATAATGAACCTTTTGAGAGCTTTGTGTATATAGTATTATGTAAGCAACTCTTGAACTTTGACAGACATATTGGATCTTCATGTGTTTAAACTTGTATTGTTATAACGTTATGAACAACCTATAAGTTATTTAGAAAGAACTCTTTCATGCTAGGTTTCCACATGGCGGGTGGGGGGGGAAGGAGAACCTTCCTCCACTAGTTGGCTGTCTGAGAGTCCCAGGGAGAGAGGCAGAGGCCAGCTGTAGTTGCTCACTGAGTAATTATTAGCACTGTAGGGCTGCTTCTCCTCTTCTTACACCACTGTACCCAGATTGACTTCAGTGGAGTTAGTTCTCATTTAGCCATGTATGTGAGAGGAAAATCAGACCCAGAGCGTGCATCTGTCATAACTCGCATTTTCCCCCGAGGGAAACCATTAGCCCACCTGGTTGGAGAGCACTGTGCTGCCAGCTGAAGAATAGAAAAAGTCATAAAGGATACAAAGGAATTAAAGGTGTCAGGGAAAACCCAAGTGCAATTTCCATCAGGAACTTGGAGGCACTTTCAGCAAAAGTTGTTGGCTGTAGTAATGGAGAGAATATTGAAAAAAAGCCCTCCCTGGATGCATGCTAATGTAAAATATCTATCGTCAGTAATGTCAGATATTTTCTCTCCACACACAGCTGCCAATGAAGTGCTTTCCAACTAGGTGGGCAGGGGCAAAAAGATCATACCAGTAACGTCATGAAAGAGGCATTATGGCAAGGCAACTGGTACTTTACTCTCTCTTATGGAGCACATATATGTATTTCATAACCACAAAGGGCAGATATATAGGACTATAGACCTCCCACCTAAATTCCCTGTAAGCTGCATGGCCGTGCACCAGCTTATTTAGCGCCGCACAGGCACTCAAGGAACCCGCCTGGGGACCTGCTGCGGCCGGGGAAGGGCACCTATCCTCCAGCCCAAGAGCTGCCGCGGCACAGAGAGGCATCTCTCCCCCCCAGGCCAGGTGCTGCTGTGGAGAGAGAGATCTGAGGGGAGTCTTCTCTCTCCCCCGTAGCCCCTGAGCACCCTCCTGTACCCCTGAGCCGTAGCACCCTCCTGAGCACCCTCCAAGCCCCTCATCCCCAACCCTACCCCAGAGCCCGCACCCCCAGCTGGAGCCCTCACACCCCTGCACCCCAACCCTCTGCCCCAGCCCTGAGCCCCTCATCCCCAGCCCCACTCCAAAGCCCACACCCCCAGCCAGAGCCCTCACACCCCTGCACTCCAACCCTCTGCCCCAGCCCTGAGCCTCCTCCCACAAGCTGAACCCCTCGGCCCCACCCCACCACATGAATTTTGTTATGTGCACAGATATGAAGGTGCATCTGGGTGGGAAAAATTAGAGGGAACACTGCCTCCCACATGAAAGTATAGCATGTAAGTTGTAAGTCAAACCTTAATATAAACTCTTTTTCTCCCTCAGGGTATGAAAGTAATATCCACAACACTACTTGAGGATAAAATCAAACTGTAAGTACACCCGCTATGATAAAGTATGGAAATCCATCCCACCAATCAGAGCAAGGGTCACACCAATCTTTGCATTGCTTTTTCCACTTAGTCTTTGATACTATAAATATGGTGCACTTTGTTGAAATGCACAATAATTTATTTTCATTTCATTAAAATTATCAAACACAGCTTTCTTGTGCATCAGCTTCATTTTGAGTTCTGTGGTCAGAAGAACTCATAAAAACAAACAACCATTTTTGGCACTTGAAAATCATATTCTCATACTGCTGGTGGCATAGCATATATTATAATACATATAAAAAAAACTATGTTAAAGGACCATTATTAAAATTGCAAAGTTCGGAAATGCCAAAATTAAGGTTGTTCATGCAACCTTAATTCAGCCCCCATGTGTATATGCATTATAATATAAACTTTAATTACATGACCTCTTACTATTTTTTCCTTAGAACCCCTGCCTTATTTAGCGTTCAGGTGGAACTTAGTTATCAGCTATTCAATATTTTATTTTCTTATTATTCAGTGTCTGGCTCTGTGCCTTATTTACTGTGCGCTATTCAAACCCTACTCTGAAGACAGAATTATTAATTTCCCCAGGAGCTTTTCTATGGTGCTAATCATTATAGTATCTGAATGTTTCACAAACAAGTTAATTTATGTTCTTATCTGTGAGGAGAAGGGGTAGTATTATCCCCATTTTACAGATGGCAAACTGAGGCACAGAGAGATTAAAGCCAAATGTTTCCACTAATTTTGTGTTCCCAATTTAAGATGCCTAGGACCTCATTTTTTCAGGTTACTTAGTATTATACAGCACTTTATATGTCCAAAGCATAACTCCCATTGACTTCAGTTGTGAGTGCTGAGTACTTTTGCAAATCAGACCACAAAGTATCAAAGCAGGCACCCAGAAAATGAAGAACACACAAGTAGTGGTGACCTGTGAAAAGTGTGATTTAAGTGACTTGCTCACAGCTACTCTGCTGGAATGCAGGGATAGAATTCAGTTCTCTAGGGCAGTATTCAAGTGCCTTGACCATGAGACATTCCTTTGTCTCCCTGAAAACCCCTGCATCAATCACTAAACACCTTCCAACCTCTTGAACAAATGAAACAACAGTCTGACAGACACAGTCTCCTTTACTACACAACCCCGATTCATCCCCAGAGCAGACTGATCCTGTGCACTGAATGAGGCTAAGGCTTTTCAAAGAAAAGGTCACCATAATTTTTTTTACATGGGGAAAACGTGTTCAGTCCAAATGGTTAAAATTTGGCAAACAGGTAATTATAAGCAACTGAAAATGGTCTGATAATGGGAAATATCTAGCAACCTTAATAACTGGAGGGGCTGCCAGTCCCCCGAATAACATACACTTGCAAAATATTTATGTACATAAATGGTATATACAGGATATCCACACATATAGAATGAAACACAATTTGTAGAGGTGTTCACAAACCAAAATCCCTGATTGGCGTTGAGAGCTTGGAAAGCGAGGAAGATCTGGACCCTCACTCTGTAATGGATTTGAGCTAAAAACCTGGGTCAGATTACTTCTGAAATTTTGGGTGGTTTGAAATTAATATCTGAATATTGAAGCGTGGGCCAATCTCTAACAATTTTGAATACCTAATGCTAAACTGTCATCCTGTCTCTCCCATCTTCCAAACTCTTCACCCTTTTACTTACACATGAAATTTAAACTGCTTCTCTCACAGTCAAGGCTCCACACAAGTCCATCCTGACTACATCTCATCTCTCATTTCCTCCTCCTCCCTCTCTTATTTGCCTAAGAAAGCTCCAACCAAATTATATATATTTCTTTCCTACTCTTGCCTTTGCACTTCCTTCAATGCTTGGAATTCCCTTCCTTCCCTAAACCAACCTCTCTTCATTCAGATTCCTCTTTAAAAAAGACTCTTTGGCAAAGTTTATCCATGGTAATTCATTAACAAAGAAAAGCATTGAAAAAAAAGTAACTGCACCTCTGGATTAAAACCATCTTTTTGTGCATTACATGTATTGTTTGACTAATCCAGACTGTACGAGCCTTGCATCATGAACATGTTTTCCTCAGACAATTTAGGAAATTATAAATAATCAGAAATCCCAAGGATGGACTGACCTCATAGAGTTGGAGGTCATGGGAGTTGCTTCAGCTAATTTGCTGGGTTTGCAAAACCAGTACAAATTCGTGAATCTTTCCCTCCCCCTGATAAAACCCTCTCTTTGTTTCCCCTAAAGTGAAACTTGATTTTTTAAAAGATGGACAGAAACCACACCCTGAATTCTCAGCACTGCCAAGCTCTGCAGCTGGAGCTTATCTCTGTCATGGTCTGGACTCAAATCCGAGCTCTGAACAACTCTGAGCTCTGCAAAAGATGGGTTATGAATTTAGACCCAGACTTGGTGGCTTGAGTCCATCTCTGAAAAATATATTTTTTGGCTAAAGGAAAAGGGATAGAAGATTCTCTTCCGAACGAGGCTTGCACAAGTGAATCTCTGGTGTACATGCTGGGCTGGACTGTGCCTGGATTTTTGCACAGCTGCACAAGGAGAGGATGATGCAAGGAGTCTTCTCCCTTTTGCATGCCTGCACAGAAGCTGGTTATAATTTCAGTCCCTGCATCCACAAGGGCTGCTTTCTTCTAGCATCCCTGGGGTTACAAAGTGCATGGAGAGCTGAGCAGAGATTACACTAGAGCACTCCACAGAGCATTTGGCATTATGCTGCTCCAAAAGCAGGATGGTGGCCATCTGGCACAGAGTCCTGTATATATTGCTTCCTACCCCCAGCTCTGCTCCTTCCCTTCTCCCCCTTTTCACTGTGTTAGGTTTTCACTTTGCAGCTCTGTGCTTCATTTTCACTATATTTGTTCTTCCCATGTATCCCTGTTTACAAGACTTGCCCTAAGAAACCATCATGTCCCATTTCAGAGAGTTTAATCCCCAAAGTCCACCCCCATCCTGGACTCCTTGACATTCTTCCCCCATCCTCACAAAATGGATTCTTCCTCCATGTTCTCTTCCTTTTGACAGACTCTTGTTCCCAGATAGACTTTTTTCCCCACTTACTGCAGCATTGGGTCCTCTCAATCCTGAGGGCTAAGATCCCAATGAGCCATGAATTCTGCCTTCGTTCACTACTACTCAGGAATAGCTTTGAAATGCTGGCAGGTATGAATGATGATAAGACCTTGTCTGCAAGCTTCAATAGTTTTTATAGAAAAAAAAAAGGTGTTACCTGTCAGCATCCACAGTCACATCATGCACCCCTCTCTGGATTACGTCTCGGGAGGCAGCTAGGTCTGGTATTCGGTTCAGACTTCTTGTATACAGGTTGAGTCCTCCATCTGTCATGTACCTGAAAATAAATATATGGTCAATCAGTAGGAAATGCAAACATCTGGCAACTATGTTTTGTTCTAAAGCTAATGGGCTGTCGAATTCAAACTCAACGTAAAGGTTTTCCTGCTTTGTAGTACTTTTGTATTAATACTATCAGTGTATGGCCTTTCATGACACTGTCTCCCCCAGATCAGCCTCTGCCACTCTTGTTATTTCTCTAGGATATTTTGCCTTGTTTGTGTTTAGCACAGGAAAAAGAGTTGTGCTAAATTTTAAAGTCTCCCAGGTCCCTTCATGAATCTGTCTTGCATTTTGCGATGCTGGCTGAAGGCAATAGCACCAGAATTAAGAAAAAGCATAGTCCTGATAAAAAAACAAGCACTTCCATCTGAGAGGGTGAACAGAAGACAGAGCTTAAGAAATCTGACTTTACAGTCCTTACTCTGGTGCAATCAGATAGTCAGCTGAAAAAATGGAAGTTGGCTTTTAAAAATCTGTTCTTCATACTGCTTTCTTTATGTTGTACTGAATGAAATTTATAAGGCTAAAAATTACAGCAACCAGTGTGGTGCTGCTTAATGTAAATCACTAAAGTCTAATTAAAGGTGATTGAATTGTAAGTAGCAGCAAGAATTTCTGAGATTCCTACCTAAAACTCAGTCACATCTTTAGGGGCTCAATGGTCTTTAATTAAAGCAGTACCACTAATCTGTGTAACCCTCAAGATCTATGCATTACTCTCCCAAGATTCCCTATCATATTGCCTTATCTCTCATGCCCCCCCTTTCCTCATCCCGTTCCTGGGTTGTTGTCTTATCCTGTTGCTCTTGTCTTAAATGTAAGATCGTTGGTGAAGACGCTGCTTTTGTATAGCACCATGCAGCTGTATGATACTCTACAAGTAATAATACCAATACACATAGGAAATGTAGGTGGGATATTTAATTACAGCAGTTAGGTAATGAAACACAGTGGAAGACTGTACAGTCACCATAACTGAAGCTATTCAAGACAGATCTAAACACTCCTTTACACTGAATGTTTTAGGCTTTATTTCTATCACGATGTAGTGAGGATGGTGTAAATGACTCCCCAGAGTTCTCCTCCAACTCAAATGATTGTAAACACAACTTTTTCTATGGTCATAAAATAGTGCTACCCATATTCATCTTTCAGTTCAAATGTATGTCCAATTAAATGAATATTTTGCTCTAATAATTCTATACAGATTCTTAGATCCCAATCTCCAGCTAAAGCCAAGAACACTCAGCACAACACAGGATTGCATTATCCTATCTCAGGCCAGTTGTATATTGGTTCAGTCCCTTTTGAGTCCCTCTGAGAGCTGCCCTAACTTAAGCCAACTGCCACTGGGTTCCTGGGGCTAATACAGCAGCCTGGGATTACCAGAGCACATGCCCACTTTGCCAGCAGCCAGGAAGAGGCGGCATAGAAATGGCTATGCCAATTGTATGCCACTGGAGGATCCACCTATGCTAAAAAGATCCTGCCATGGCTAGCTAAGCTGGCTTTCGAGCAGCTTGGCGCAGATGTTGCAGTGCCAAGCTGCTGCAGTGCAGCCAAGGATTGTGGCTTTAGTTTGTGAGTTCCTGTGTACTTTTTGGCAAGCGATACCTACATTCTGCCGCATTTTTGAGTATATTAAAATGCGGGGGGGGGGAGAGTTGTTGTTGTTGTTTTTAAATTAAACATGAAAACATCCACAACATATGTCCCTTTGTTAAGCAGTAGTTCCCAATCTGAAAAGTACTGTAAGTTTGCAACCCCCTGGTTTCAGGCGGTCTGTTTGAAGACTCCAGAAGATAGCACTGTACTGGATGATGTTTGATTCAGTTATGGAAGGTTTCCCTCACAACTACAGAAGCTAGATTTTTTTTTTTTTTAAATGAAAGCTTAGATTCTGGAGCAAATTTATGTAGCAGGTGATGAATTATGCAGTAAATGCTGTGGTTGTGGAATTGCACATTAAATACAACTGTGGTTAGAACACAACCCAGTCTGTAAGGTCCCCCCCTCATATAAATAAGGGCCATAGTGGAGAGGCTTAACTTGTGAAGTAGGTCTTCCTCGCACTAATTCCTAATTACTGATGGATTCTTATCCCCAAGTGTTTAAAGTAATTAAAGTGAGAATGAGAGAGGAGAAAAGAGATAAGTCTTTACATGCCTCAATGGATCTTGACTTTTCAGAGCATATTAACATGTATTTTAATATCTACTGTACCTACAGTATGTTAGCTGACCACATTACTACTTACTGTTTATTGAGTCATCCTTACTACCAACGTAAAGAAAAATCACACAACACAATGACTTCATCATTCTCTAATGTGATAACCTAATTAATACATTTCACATCAAGCACTGCAAAAGCTCCTCCTCTCTTTTTTAACAAAGCACAAGTATAATATATTTTTTTTTTTATGGAAAAGGGGGCTTCAAATATCACTGTGCAGCATCTCACACACTCCTTTCTACTTTGATACAGCAGGCACCATTAAATCATTCTGAGCTGTCTTCTTCCTCTTCTTTTCAGCTCATTATTTAAATCCAGGCAGAGGCATGGAAGCTCATATAAGACGGCCAGCAATGCCCTAATGTGGATAAGTTGTTGGAGTAGTCCATCCTGTTTCACCATCATCCATTCTTTAACCTCAGCTACACTTCTACAGAGACCAGTCACATCAGCTCCCCATCATGCTTTGTCTTCCCCAGGCTGGTGTGTAGAATTGCTGAGGTTGTTATTGAAAACAGTTCCCTGTACCACAGAAAGGTAGGCAGGCAATATACTAAGCTAGACATTTAAACATCCACAGTGCACTTACAGAATGGGTTGTGACACTAACCTTCCCCATCAAAGTGCCTCAACTGTGATCTGCAGAGACCATCTCTAGAGTTAGAGTATCTCAGTCTCATGTCCATTCCATCTCTGACATCTCTGATAAGATTGTCAGCAAGAGTCCCAATTTGTGCTAAGTGCGATGTGATGTGGTCAAATGTCCCCTAAGAATTAGATTCAGACCACCAACTAATTTCACATAAGCCACTGAATAGCCTTCAGATGTTAACAATCTTTAAATCATTTGTGATTAATGGGCTGGATTTGATCTACTAGCTACAAACTGGTAAATTATGTCCCATAATTTCCTATGGCCCATGTTTCCAGTTGTCTGAGCAGACAGAATTACTGTGAAGCTTTGATGTCCACTAAAATCACCCTGGAATATTATAATGTGCCCTGTACAAAAGACACCCTTTGAATTGTGCTTTGCTATACACTACTACCTGGTACATTAGGCAGCAGCAAAGAGTAATTCAAATATTGATAATAGTGAAAATGAGGCCTTTTGTCTTAAATTATGTATTGGACTTTCTAGCCCTCAAAGTAAATTCTTAGAGTTTGAATTACTTAATACAAATACGCCTAAGTGGCAAATGAGTATAAGGCTCCTGTCTGAAGTACCAAAGACAAGAGTCTCAGATATACCCACAAATCAATCGGGAATATCATCATTAGCACATTTGTATTTAAAATAAAAAACATTATAAAGGTCTTTTTGGGTGGAGCCAGGACATGGAATCTCTATATGCAAAAATTACAGTAGTCTACTCTCAGCATCCGCTTGAAATCAGTCCCTGAAAATCAACTGAACAAACACAAATAGGATGCAGAAATGAAAATAATTGTCATCCATTGTTCCTGAATTAACCAGAAGAAAATATTCCTATCTCCAAGGATATTCCTACAGGTCAGAAATTATATTCACAGGTGAAGAATTGAGGTAAAGGCCTGTTACACAAGACTATAATAGACAGCATCTGACATGCAAACAGAAAAAGTCAGGCCTGTCAGCAACTGCCTTTCATCAGCCCCATCTGAAAACACAATATGTCATCTAAAAAAAATGTAAGAAAAATACTGAAAAAACCCTAAGACACAACAAAACAAAACTGGTTTTACTAAACAGTTGTGGAAACCTCAATAAATACTTTATATTAATGCCTCTAAAAACCTGCTCCTGCTCACCCTGAAGCTAATACCAGAACTCTCATTGACTTCAATAGGGGACAAGCTGGACCCCACAGAAGGGTTAGAACAGCACTACCATTTTGTTTAAGCATTACGTAGTGTCCGCAATTCTACATTTACCAGGTTAGATTTCTTTATATAAAATCCCGTTCAATTTGCCCTGTCCTGCATTAGGGTTTCAGCTGGGTAAAATGCCACTTACCCACTATTGATGTCATCCGTTCTGAGGCTTTTCCCAAGAATGTCCCCATCACTCATGTAACCTCCAACATCAACTTCAGAGGACATGTCCAGATCACTGCTTCCTTTTTCATTCATGTCAATCTGTGACATATTCCCGAGGCGAGAAACAGCTGCTCGGCGAAGAGGTGTGGTATACATGAACCGCGAGGGGTCAGTATGTATGAAGCGACCAGCACTACTGCGAGGGTAACCACTACCTAAGGATGGGGCATCTCCTGCCTGGAGGCGAGGACTAGCCTGGCCAAGCCTCCAAGTCACTGGTGTGGATCGGCTTGTCAAGCTTGGTATACTTCTCCCATTCACTTCGGTTGTCACAGTGCTGTCAAAAGTTGTCTCTAATGTGCTGCCAAACAAAACGTAGAAGTCAATTAATTGTGCTCTCTCGCTCTTTCTGAGAAATAAAGATGAACAAAAGTTGCACGGCTAGGTGGAGCGTAGAAACGTAAACTAGGTATATAATAACCCAATACTTTTTTCTCTACAAGATTTTTTTTATTTGTACACATCAGAGATTTAAAACTGTAGACAAGCTTCCAAATGAGTCCTGAGATACTATTTACAGAAAGGTAAACAAAACACTTACATCAAATTATTATGACAAGAATCCTAGACACACAAATATTATCTTCACAAACAGCATTGTTAATTTTCCCTTGCTAACCTCTAATGGTAAGCCTGCAATTCTTGACTGCAAGTATTCTTCTACACTCCAAAATGTAAGAAGTCCATGAACAAATAGTACCTGTGGCTTATCTGGGTCCCTCTAAGGCTGGACATAGTTTCTTCCAAATTCTGTCGCAGATCTGCTATATTCTTTACTGTTCGCATTCTTCTTGTTTCTGGGTCTTCTCCTGGAAGAAAACAAAATAATATAAATTCGGTGTGGGTGTGCAGTCATGTACACGTATGGTATGCGTGTGTGTGTGTGTGTATACACAAATATAGATATAAACTAACACATGCATGTGTGCGGACAACTATATACATGATATCATTTATATATGTATACACATACATATCATTTAAAATTTGAATATACACAAGCTCCCAGAGTGTATTTGTAGATCTGTCCATCCATCCACCCACATACAACATGCACACACCCATCCTGCCAATATTATTGTGCACACACACAGCAATCAAAAGTTTTGTGGTGATTAAAAGCTCATTTTAAAAATAGCAAGTTAGTGGAGGGTCTCAACAAGGCTGAAAAATGTAGGGATTGTGGAGACTAAGGCCCCGATTTAGGAAAACATTTAAGCACACACTTAAAATCTATCCCTATTCAGGAAAGCACTTAAAGTTAAGTCTGTACTTAAGCACCCTTCCTAAGTAGGGATGGTTTCTTGAGCTGGAGCCTTATTCCCCATAACCCTCACAGTGGACATAAAACACTAAGTCCCAATATAAGTCATACATTTATAGATTTTAAGTCCAGAAGGGACCATAATGATCATCTAGTCTGACCTCCTGCATGACAAAGGCCATACGGTTTCACCCAGAAGTTCCTGCATCAAACCCACAATTTTTTGCTATACAAAAAATAAATAAACCCACAAAGATAAAATGAACATAGTGAAATACTGTGTTACCCAGGAAGAATGTAAAAGCCTAATAAACAATATCAAATAAATACATAACAACAAAAATTACCAAATATTTGATATATATTAAAAATCTGAAATTAATATATTTTTAAAAATGGTATAGTTTATCTAGCAGTTTTTGTTTATTTTAACATAATCATTTAACTACCCCGTATTTGCATTTCTTTTCTTTTGAAGAGTATAGTATTAAATAACATAAAGTATCACAGATTTTGTGGTTTATCACGCCCAGAATGTCGCCTATGACAGTGTCCCATTTGTGATGCTTCAGGGTGGGTGGGGGTAGACATAATTCTAGCAATTTGTACAATTCTGAACAAATGGGGAAAACTATTCCTCCCTGACCCCAGGACTGATCATTTTATGCCCTTATACATCACTTGATTAACCCCAGTTTAGTCAGCATGCTACAAATGTTATCATCAGTGATAAAATTGTAAAATCCTTTTAAAATAGGTTAATATTATTTAACTCTAAATTCAGCATTTTCCTGGGATATACACAAATTAAGGTTGTAATTCCATCTCAGGATTTTGGTGATATTGAGAAACTGCTTCAGCTTTGATCTCATATTTGCTGATGTCAGGAGAACACCTTGTGAATCTGAATTCAACATGACACAAACGAGAAGATCAGAAACACAAGTGGAGAGAAAGGAGAGGGTGATAACAACATAATCTCATGTGTACTCAGTAAGGCATATACACTTCTTCGTTCTGCTGACTTTTTTTGTGTTGTTGCTACGTTTTTATTCCCCTCATGTCCTGTAGCTAAATGTATAGGTGAGATCGAAACATGAAGAGGAAATCTGGGGAGGGCAATAAGAAGCAGTACACAAGAATGCATAGAAATATCAGTGATGGGAGGAAAGGGTTGTGTCACTGGTAGAGCAGAAGAGTCAGAGTGAAAAGCAAGAGGAAATTAAGTCCATTATTAGAGATCACCCAAAAAATTTTGGAGGAACAATTTTTCACAGGAAAAGAGAGTTTCATCAAAATTAAAATATTTTGTGAGTTGGTGTGAAATTTGCCAATATTTTCGCTGGAAAATTTAGAAACAAATCCTTTCGACTTTCTTGTTTCATTTTGACAATATTGTTTTCATGTTTATATTATATTAAATATTACTGTTAATACTATATTATGCTATATTTAATATTAGATTACACTGTTTCAATTTTACTGAAATGAAACCATTTATGTTAATCAAAGTGAAACGTTTTGATGCTTCCAAACAGAAAACTTTTTGAATTTCTGTCCCACGGGAAATTTCCAAAAACTGACTTTTCATTGCAATTTTGAATGATTTTTTTTTAAATGTTGGAATTTTCAGTGGAACAGAAATTCCATTTTCCAACCAGATATAACAGTGTTTCTCGAACTGGGGTCACCGCTTGTGTAGGGAAAGGCCCTGGGCAGTTTGTTTACCTGCCGAGTCCGCAGGTCCGGCCGATCGTGGCTCCCACTGGCCGCAGTTCGCTGCTCCAGGCTCATGGGAGCTGCTGAAAGTGGCGGCCAGTACGTCCCTTGGCCCACGCCGCTTCCAGCAGCTCCCATTGGCCTGGAGCAGCGAACTGCGGCCAGTGGGAGCCGCGATCGGCCGGACCTGCGGACGGGGAAGGTAAACAAACCAGCCCAGCCTGCCAGGGGCTTTCCTTACACGAGCGGCGACCCCAGTTTGAGAAACACTGAGATATAACCATAATGTAGACAAGGGCTAGGAGATCTTGAATTAGGTCTTTCAAGGCAAGACACACCAGGCAATGAGCAGTCAGCAAAGAGACTCAAAGAGGTGCATAACCAGACTGAAACTATGAACAAGAAAGATTATTTTGGCAGCAGAAATCTAGATAGAAAGAAGGGGGGTTAGTTAATCCATTAATCAATGTGGAGGTGATGAAGGAATGCATAAACTGTAGTGAGGCCAGCCTAAGGCTGGAATTGACACAACCTGCTAGCAAAGCACAGAGAAAAAAACAATGTTTGGCCACAAATGCTATTTAACTTCTAACAATAGCTGAGGAGCCAATAAGACCTCTTAGTAAAAAAAAAAAAAAAAAGGCCCACATAACTCCCATTCAGCCAAAGAATGTAGAATTTACTATGCTATTTCCCTCTGCCTGCATCCCTCAACCCACCAGAATCACCTTTGTTTCACCGGACTGTGGATATACATGCATACAGCAGTCATAATTAATAAGTCAGTATCCACTAACAGTGACCACACCATGGTATGTATGATACCACAGTTTTCCATGTATTAAGGAATGAAAATAAAGTGTCTTAGAATTGGAAGTAAGTGTGGAAGCTCTAAGGTATAATTTGGCAAAAGTTGAATATATATCTTGCTTATGTGTGTGTTATTAACTGATAGTCATTGCACTTTAGTTAAGGTTGCAATTAGGTTCCATAATAAACTCTGTTTTTACTCCACCCCTAAACTGTTTTGATCTGAAAATAGTCCAATTTACTGGAAAGGCAAAGGAAATTTGGGCTACAGGTCACAAATTTTTTTCTCCAGTTTGAAATTTTGGCTAGTTACATTCCTTTTTGAAACCATTAGTTACAACTGAAAACAATGTACTGCACAGATATTACAACTCCTTTCCTCCTTGGTAGGTGAATGCAGTATAGTACCAGTCAGAGAACTCTGTGGGCTTGTCTACAGGCAAAAATTGTTCTGTCTTAATTATACCAGTATAGTTAAAGTGGTACAACCCTTCAAGTATGGACACAGTTATACCAGTATAAAAATTCTTATAGCTTATTCATGTACATGCAGATGAATAAAGTATACTGGTATGAGCACCTTTATACCAATATATCTGCATCCACACTAGGGGTTGTACTGGTATAACTATTTCTGTAAAAATCACACCCATCTGAAATAGTTATAGCAGTGGAAAAAACGTGTGTAAACCCAGCCTTACGTCTGATGCCAATGGCCCCAACTAAATAAAGCACTTCAGTATGTGCTTAACTTTAAGCATATGAGTAGTCCCAGTGAAATCAATGGGACTAGTCATGTGTTTGAAGGTAGGCATACATTTAAATACCTTTCTGAAATCAGGCTTATATGTGTATTGTGGATTTGCTTAAATGTGGCATAGTATGTTTTTGGAAGCTTGGGTTTGTGACAGACACTGTGAAAAAAAAAAAAAAAAAAAAGGCAGAGTGATACATCTAGTCCAGTGGTTCTCAAACTTCATTGCACTGCAACCCCCTTCTGAAAAGAAAAATTAATACACGACCCCAGGAGGGGGGACTGAAGCCTGAGCCTGCCCAAGCCCTGCCACCCCAAGTGTGAGGGAGAGGGGAGGCAAAGCTGAAGCCCAAGGGCTTAAACTCTGGGTGGGGGACCCGTAACCTGAGCCCAGTTGCCCCAGGCGGTGGGGCTTGGGCGTTGGCTTCAGCCCTGGCCCCCAGCAAGTCTAACGCCAGCCTTGGCAACCCCCTTAAAATGGGGTTGCCACCCACTTTGAGGTCCCAACCCAAGGTTTGAGAACCATTGATCTAGTCTGTGCATGGTGGGTGGAAGCAGTACATTGGGATTTCTGTATCGTATGGAGCAGTGGATGGGGAAATGGTGCGGGGAGTAATTGTTTGTGAAAATAAGACATAATATGCATGTTATTTTGAGCATAATGGAAACTGGGATAGGGAAGGTCAAATCTCAGTTCTGTAACTGGACGGTAAGAAGGAAGATACTGGTCTGAGGGAAGACTGGGACTGTGGATCTTGTTCATTTGTAAAGGTTTGTAGCCCATGTTGGAAATGTATATAATATATAATGGGACGGTATAGAAGGATTTCCTGGTCTATAGACAGAGGTAGGGTTTAGAGGTCTGAGGGGGCAGAGTTAAGGCTGTTCTTAGACTGTGCAATATCCATACTTAACATGTGTATATTTATCTGAGGGATGGAAGATATTTGAATATTTATCTGCCTTAACTATTTTCATTTCCATATTCTAAAATCTTTGGATTTTAAAACTGCAATGTTTTTATTTGGGTGTGTGTTTTTGTGTGTACTTATTTTAACATTATTGCTAATATTTTCAATCTTTAATATTCACTGTTACTTTATCCTCTCCCTTTCCTTGTTTATTTGTTTGTTTCTACCTGTTGTCCCTTGTCATATATTTATAATATAAGCTACATTGGGTAGGGCCTGTCTTTTTTATTGTGTGTGTACAAAGCACATGATAATGGAGTCTTGATCCTTGAATGGGGCCACCATTTGTTT